CAGGTTTGCTGGCGTTCGAAAGTCGTGGATGGCGCTGACTCTGTCCTGGTCTGCTATATTTCCCTTGACTGAGATGTTGTAGCCACAGAAGCTCACACTAGGGGCGGCGATCACAAACTTGTCCTGGTTGAGTGTGATCCCATGCTTGCGGCACCTAGCTAGCATCTGGTCAACTTGTCGGATGTGCGTCTTGAAGTCATCATCGTAGAGAAGGATGTCATCTACCACCTACACATCTCTGCATACCCTGGAGCGACATGTCTCTTCGACGACAATAAGCATCTCCAGTAGCCGAGAAACCCATAGGGCCTCTGCAATTCTTGAATTGCGGCGTTATGAAAGTGGTAAGGTGCTGGTCCTCCTCAGCGAGTTCACGTTGCCAATATCCACACAAAGCATCCGCAGTCATGAAATACCGTGACGATGGAGTGACAAGACAAATGGCGTCGAAGGGTGTTGGGGAAGGATGTGTCGGGCGGGATACTTGGCTGTTGAGGTGGGATAAATCAACAGTAATCCTCACACCTTTATCCTTCGCTACGGTGACTAGTGGGTGGCACCAGTCAGAGGGTTCATCTACAGGTGCGATTATGCCTTGATTTACCATTGACTCGAGTTCTTCCTTCGCCTGTTGCTGAAATGCAATGGGAATCTGTCTCAGAGTGTGGACGGCAAATGGTGCTGCTCCTTCCTTTAAGTGTATCCTCATTGGTCCTTTGTGAGGTCCTTCTTGGTGAGTAGCACGTCCTTGTATTCCTGTAGGAAATATTCTCTTGCAGCAGACGGGCTTGGCAGGTCAGGGGGGCGCGACCTGGCACACCTGTATGTATGTTTGACCTTCAAAATCGGCTTCGGGAATGGGGAAGAAATGATGGCTAACTCCTGACAGTGTCCATAAGAGAGGAGAGGAGTCGGGACATCATCATGGACTTGCATCTTGGCCTTGCAAGTCCTCTTTCCCAGTCGTAGTGTTGTATGGAAAAATCCCAGGGCAGGAGCCATTTCAGATCCATCAGCTGTCAGGGTGGTGGTGGATGCTAGGGGCTGTAATTCACTATGGGGGATCTTCAGCAAATCCAGGTGTTTCTTACCCGTGATCATGACATCCGCGCCCGTATCTGGCAACATCTGAAGGCATGATGTGGCCTGGCCATATGTCAGGTAGACATTAACAGGCTTGGGAGTCTTGTTGTCTGCTGACACGCGACGACAGTTGTAGTTCTGGCGAGAAGGCAATCCTTACCTGTCGTCGGCCTTCTTCGATTTGCATACCTTGGCGAAATGGCTTCTCTTGTAACATGAGCGGCACTCGACTTCCTTTGCGGGACATTTGCTGGTCCTGGCCCAATGTCCTTTGCATCTGCAATTCAAGCACGTATCATCCTAAGCAGGGCATTTCCCGTGTCTGTGTCGTCGGGTACATGACTGACAGGAGTAGGTGTTTGATATAAGTTTTTGTTCTTGATGTTTTGGAGGAGAGTGGGTGTTCTGGTCATGCTGTTTCCTCTTCTTGTACCTTGAAATAGCACACAGTTGACTTGGGGTGAGTGGATGGATGAAACTGCATTCTTGGTGGCCTCGAAAGAACGACAGCAGGTAACCATATCCTGATGTACCTACATGGAGAGAGATGAGGCATTGCACAAGTTCTTCCTCTTTGACACCCATCAGCAGGATCATCTTGAGCTGTGCCTCTGCACAAGTAACTGGTTCACCTGAACATAAATCCACTTCCTCTGCGAGGGCTTTCATACGTATGTAAAAGTCTGAAAACGTCTCGCCATCCTTTTGTTTGCAACACAGAAGTTCACGTCGGTGCACTTCGTTACGTTGGTTCTTAAAGTGCCTTTGGAGTTCATCTAGTACTTCGTCGACTGTCAGTGGAGTGTTATGTGCAATCCCCAGCGTGTATTGCAGGATCCGTTGCACGTCGAGGGACACCGACATCTTCAGCTGTATTAACTGTTTCTCAGTGGGCAGCTTTGGCAGGTCCACCATCATGGCGTAGTCATCCCAACTACTGGCGAAACGTCTGGAAGGTATTGTCTGCTCGTAATGTGGGCGGTCTGTGTGCAACAGTCTTGCTGGGAGGATGTGTCACTGATGAAGTACTTGTGACGTTATGATTGCAGCAGGAGTGACGACAGATGAGGCGTCGGCAGTGGGCGTGGTGGGAATGAACTCTGATGAGACATGTTTGGTACTAACATCTTTATCAGTGCTGCAAAACGTTCGTGATCTCTGCGCTGCATGTCTTCTTCTTGACATCTCCTATCTTCCTCTTGTCGTCTCTGTGTTTCATTCTCTTGACGTCGCCTGTCTTCCTCTTGGCGTCGTCTGTCTTCCTCTTGACGTCATCTGTCTTCCTCTTGACGTCGTCTGTCTTCCTCTTGGGGTCTCCTCTCCTCTTCTTGTAATCTTCTTTCTTCATCTTCTGCTCTTCTGCGGTTTTCTGAGTAAATTCGGGCCTCTTCCATGTACTTAATAAGGTGGAGAAAGTCTGGCGTACTTCCTATGTCTGTGGCGTCAGGGGTGGCGGTAACAAGCGCTATCAGTCCGTGCGGCTGGCCCATCATGGCCTGGTAATTGGGTAATTCCTGGTAATTCCTCGTCTGTATCTGAGTGATGTGGGGTTTCTACAGATTCGGCATAATCTCGTATCCTTCACTTCACTGTAGAACAATCGGTGGAGCAGTAAAACGTCTGAAAACTTCTGTGTATTAACTCCGTTTAATACAATTTTAAGTTTCACGGCAGTGAGTGCGAGAGGCAAGTACGGTGTGGAGTCGAGCGATAGGCGAGGCTTAGCGCATGACGTCATGAACGGCTGCCCAGCAACCTCAATGCTCAGTGTCCACCGAGACGTCGTGGAGATCAGAGTCTATGTTGCTGTAATGTCTTACAGGAGACATTAGCTGGCGTACTGCTGTAACTGTAGCAGGCCACAGACACGAAACAATCACGGCCACTAACACAGCTCAGTATACTTCCACAGCACTAAACCTCATACTGAGCACTGCACTGGTCACTAACACTGTTAAATGTTCCTGTGTGTGTGCAAATCATTATTTCACTCGGAGGCTCGGTGTAATGGCGTCGGTCTAGGAGGGGACGGCAAGGAGATGGAAGATTTTTGATCCAGCCCTTACTCTGGTACTTAGCTTGTAGTTACTCTGGTAACTCACTGCGCCATGTGGTGTGATGATTTGCCGGATATGCTTGTAGGTTCAAATTAAACCAGGGATGACTTATCAAGGCAGTGCTCACAGAGGAGCACTGCGGTGTACAGTCAGCTCGCGGGCGACGCTCTGCCTGAGGCGCGTTGTTACTGGAACATGCCACTAGCAAACAAGTTGTTACTGGAACATGCCACTAGGAAACAAGTTGGTGGTATTACTGTAGATATGTGATATATATCACATATCTACAATAACACCACCATAAACACAGTGACAATGAAAGGGTTGATGATGATAGTG